TTTTTCCTATACAAAAATAAATGGTGCTCTAACTCGCAAAATTTGTGCGATATCTTTTCAAAATCTTCAAGACTTACCTAATTGTTGCATTAGAATTTTCATTCTCATAATAAACTTTTCTAACTGCAAAACATTTGTTTGATATCAAGGAAGCTCACATATAAGCAGCAGTGATGAGTTTATTCTTTTAAGGCTTGAAACTATGTTGAGTAATTGGCGGATCACGTCAAGAAAAAATCATATCCATGGGCATGTCACCTGAAGACCGTAAGCACGAACATGTGGCTTCTCCTAGTTAATGCTTTTCCCAACTTGTTTGCTCGTTTGGGGCAAAAATTCGAAGACTTTGTTGTGCCGACTACAGTCAATCCGGGGCAATCACGTAAAGATTTGATGAATCTCTCTAAGAGTTTGAAGACACCAGAGCATGGTGAATGCCAGGTCTTTTGTAAAATCCTCTTGAGACGATTTCTCCTCATCAACCATATAGCTCGGGGCATTTTAGAGGTAAAGTTATTCGCAAGAATTGTCGTGCATCACGCAGCTTATCAGCAGTAAACTTGGGGCATCCAAAATTAATCCCAGGGGCAATCCAGATTTGTCAAGATATGTTTTTCATACATTATCAGAGGGTGGTGTTCCCAGTTTCTCCAGCTAAGCATGACTTTTTCCAGCTGAAACTTTGTTTGTGTTGTTATCCTTTCAATGGATTGTTTGCAATAGAAGACTGGACTTTGGGTTTTCTACCTGAAAATATCTCCCTCTCCAAAGAGATTTAAGCCTTGTAAAAGGACCTTGTTCCAATGATGGCCTGTGTTCTATCTCCAGTAATGTTCCCATCTTGTTGAGATTAGCTGAGTGTTGGGTTTGTGCTGTGATGTCTTATCATCTTCTGTCTATCTCCCTTGTCTGTTTTGTCAGCATATACATGACATTCATTTATTCATTCACACTTGCATCATGCACGCACAGTTGTATTTGTTGATGCCATTGAGTTCGTATACCTTGGTTGTGTCTATTCAAATAGTGTATTTGATCTTTCCAAATAGAGTGTCAACTTAAGCAGAAAGTGCGCCTCCTTTCTAATTCCCCACTGAGTTAACTCTCGTGGAAGAATCTTGCTTTAGCTTTCCTTTTCCATCTCTGGATAGGATAAATCCCCATTTGAGTTATTTCCTCATTGGGTGGAGTCTTATTTGACTGTTTTCTCTCCAGTTTATTCCTGGATTGAGCTTTGTTTCTTGTGAACGATGCCCTGTGGATCTCTCTAGGCTGTGAAACCTAGATGGAGAGTGCATTTATTTTGCAACGTAAATACTTGGTCTCCTCAAGAAGGATTTATTCATGGTTCCCCATTAAAGATGAACTTTATTCCCCAGCAGTGTTATCACAACCTTCTTCTGGAATATCGACATGACAACAAGCGACTGACTCTTTATTTGAGCAGTTCGATTATTTCTGATTTCTCTATAACAAATGGCGGTCTCTTCATGAGCAGTTTGTCCATCCTCGATGAAATTATTGATTCTCACCTCCAGCAATATCTTCATGATATTTTATGGGTATCTTTGAGAAAACAGCAAGCGGCAGTCTCTTCATGGACAACTTGTATGTTATCAACACTTTCAAAAACAGCAAGTGGCGGTCTCTTCATGAGCAACTTGTATGTTATTGTTATCTTTTTGGGAAACAGCAGGCGGCAGTCTCTTCATGAGGCAACTTGTGTGTTATGGATACTCTTGACAAACAGCAAGCGGCGGTCTCTTCATGAGCAACTTGTGTGTTATGGATACTCTTGACAAACAGCAAGCGGCGGTCTCTTCATGAGCAACTTGTGTGTTAATGTCACCTTTCAAAACAACAAGCGGCGGTCTCTTCATGAGCAACTTGTGTGTTATTGTTCTCTTGAAAAACATCAAGCGGCGGTCTCTTCATGAGCAACTTGTGTGTTATGGATACTCTTGACAAACAGCAAGCGGCGGTCTCTTCATGAGCAACTTGTATGTTAATGTCACCTTTCAAAACAACAAGCGGCGGTCTCTTCATGAGCAACTTGTGTGTTATTATTCTCTTGAAAAACATCAAGCGGCGGTCTCTTCACGAGGCAACTTGTATATTATTGACACCTCGAAAAATGGCAAGTAGAAGTCCTTTCATGGGTAGCTTGTACGTTATTTTTTCTTTTGAAAATGGCAAGTGGCAGTCCTTTCATGGGTAGCTTGTACGTTATTTTTTCTTTTGAAAACGGCAAGTGGCAGCTTCTTCATGAGCAGCTTGTACGGAAAACGGCAAGTGGCAGCTTCTTCATGAGCAGCTTGTACGTTAGTATTTTTGGAAGACAACAAGTGGCAGCTTATCTATTTGAGCAACTTGTGTGTTATTGTTCCCTTGAAAACGGCAAGCGGCAGCTTCTTTATGAGCAGCTTGTGTACTTTGATATTCTTTGAAGACAACAAGTGGCGGACTCTTCATGAGCAGCTTGTATGCTTTAATTTTCTTTGAAGACAGCAAGTGGCGGTCTCTTCATGAGCAGCTTGTATGTTATAGACACCTTTGAAAGGAAGCAAGTGGCGGCCTCTTTATTTGAGCAGCTTGTGTATCCCCAACAATAATGTCTACTCAGCAAACGACATCTCTTCGGAAAAGTTCTGTGGGGAAGCTTGTATTTTATCCTTTTCAAGCTATATCTTGGTTAAAGAAGGAATGTGTTACCGTTCTTGGTAAAACTCAGAAGTCAGAGATGTTTATTTCTAGTCTCAATACCGATGCCAATCATTTTCCAATCTTAGTGTTGATGTCAATCATTTCCCTTCTCCAATCTCCGTACTGATGTAAATCATTCTTTTCTTCCCTCAAGTTATTCTCTAATAAGAGTCTCTCATTTGAAGTCTATGACTTTGTTCCCTAGTGGAGTTATAATCTCTTCTCCCGTGGGATTACTGTATAATGTGCTTGATTTCTCCAACAGTAGTTTGTCTCATGCAGCATCGTTCCTCATTAAATTCAAAATATTACATTCATATCATATCATAAACATAATTGCGGTATCTTAAGGCCAAAAATTATGTATTCTATATTTAAGTCCCTTCAATCTCGTCGAAATGAAGATTCCAATCTTCATATCTCCAGATAGAAGAAACTTAAATAGAGGCATCTGTCATACCCTAATTTTTGACCTAAGATCCCGCATTCCATCCGCATCATTACATAGCAAGTGTTCACAGGCGATTCGACCTATTTTTGCCAATTCCCGAGTCAGATTTCAAAAATTCATAACTTCTTCAAGTTTCAATATTTTGAGGGGTTATTTTTTGCATATGATTTTTCTTGACACCATCTACAATTTTTCTTTACAAGACAAGAGATGATTATGCATTGAAAAGCCACGAAAAAGTTATTAACGTTCGAAGTTGTTTCACGAATTTAATGGAATTTGATTCTTAATTTTGGACTATGTTTTATCCGACCATAAATTTTACACTTTCTCTTCTCTTATTTTTAATTCCATGAAAAATCATTAAAAAAAATATATTTAGTTCATGTCATCTTAATTTTATTTACATTATTATTCAAAATATCAAAAAAAAGTAGTCTCTTCAAGTTTCATTTAGATTTTTATTCTTAAGTCAAAATTATAGTCTTCTAGATTTAATTTAGTAAAAATCTCAACAAAAAAAAATGTCTTAGCATTATTTTATTTTAGCATTTCACTTTAATCACAAAAAATATAGTTAATATCTTTTCCTTTTAATTCTTTTAGTTATTATAATTTTCATTTTCTTTCTTTCAATATTAATCTTGATTTGGTTCTAATTTTAATTCAACTTTTTAGTTGAGTTATTATTAAAATTAAAATTAATTTTAATTTCTCTTTAATTTTCATGTTTTGGAAATTTTTAGTTTAATATTTTTTATTTTTTATTTTATGTTATTATTATTGTTATTATTATGCTATTCCTCTCCTTGTAAAAAATGTCCAAACAATAAAATTAGTCCAAAACCATGCTATTGTCCCTATCCTAACTGTCCATAAAACCCAAACATGCTACACAACAAAACTTGCTGCTACTTCACTCCAAAACCTGCATAAAAATCAGTCTGCAAACAACCTTTTTACTACCTTTGCTGTCCAAAAAGCTTGCCAAAAATGAAATCACAAATCCCTACATCAAGAAAGCACAAGGAAGTTGACATAAACCAGAATTCAACTGATATTTGGCTCCAATTTTCCCTCCAATTCTATCATACACTCACAATAAAAACAAAAGCAAATGGTGAAGAGTTGAGGGGGGTTATCACCTAATTCCTGCAATAGTAGTAAAAAAAAACAAAAAAGAATACAACAACACCCTCTCACAACAACGTAACATCACCTCACCCTCCGCCTCCGTGACCCTTCCACACTTTCATCAACTTCCACCCTTCAATCCCTTACCCAAACCTCTCCACGCGAATTGCAACAGCATACTAACACATCCCAATTTCCGCTGTAAAACTGCCAGCAACCCCCTTACATCACAAACCCAATCTTCAAACCACCCTCACCGCTCACAGCATAAACTCACTCCCTGTGATGTTCCAAGCGTTTGGCATATTCCACTTGCTGTTTTAAAAAACCACATTAATGATACCCCTCAATAGTTCAACTTCTCAAACATCATTCTCCACCTCTTTCTCTAACCACACTTCATCATGCACAAAAGCAGTTCCGGTTCACTAGGCCCAGATGGCCTCGACCTAACCAAAGCCTTCTTCCTTCATCGATTTTTCGACCCATCACCGTAACATCATCACCGAACCACCATCAGTGACCTCTATCTAATCTTCATCAATAATTCTGCAAATTCCATTACCACTTCACTTCTGTTATCTGATTCACCCTTTACCTTCAATTCTCTCCGCTTACAGCGACCAAATCCTTATTTCCTTTTCTCTACCCATCACCACATTACCTCCTGCCTCTTACCGTTTAAACCCAGCCACATCGAAACAACATCTACTCACCATGTTTCAGATTCACTAAATAAATTATGACAACCATCTTCAAATGTCCTGAAATACATTCACCATTCGACATATTCACCATTGCCTAAACTCACCCACACTTGCAACTAATAAGTTCTCAGCAAGAAGATTTCACAGAGAAGAAAAGGAGAAGAAGGATTAACGAAAGTAGAGACTGAAAGAGGCGACATACCTTTGAACTTTATCAGAATCGAAAATCAGCGGATTATCTCTAGGTTGTAAGTTTTTTTGCCCTTTTTTTTCATGTATTCTTGATACTGATGTGATCGTGGATAAGCGAAAAAGCTGAGCAAATCCTTTGTCGTTGTTATTCTGATACGATAGAGAGTTATGGGGGCATAATTTCTTTTGAGTAGAGGAAATAATCGTGAGAGACATGAAGTTTTCACGGTTTAGAAGAAAGTTGAGTCTGAGACCATTTTCACGTGAGAGAAGAAAATAACGTCAGGGTTAATTGAATTATTTATTGGGAATTAAAAATTAATGGTGACTTTTTCCATTTCCCAAAGCCAGCGGCGCCTCTTTCCTTGTACAAGGGTTTCGGAACCCTCCCTTTTCTTTCTCTAGTGGATCCGGGTTTGGGCCTAAGTTTTAGAGCCCAACCCGAATGTTTTACCTTCTTTTCCTTGTTTTAGAGAGTGCATAACAGAAAAACATCATTGTCTTAGTGGCAAGGCAGAATAGATATAATCATAGGAACCTGAGTTCAACCCCTGATTCTTAATTTTTTAGTTTTAAGTCTTTCTTTTTTATTTTTAGCCTTATTTCATTTAAAATTTATACAAAAATATAAAAAATATTAGTAAATCTTATATTTAGATTTAGTTTAGTATTAATTTAGATTTTTTTAATTAGTTTCAATTTCTTATAATAATATTTGTTTTTTTTAGCTTTATTATTTAGTTTAATTTAATTTGGTTATCATTTGAGTTTTAATCTTTATCTAGTTTAGTTACTAATTATAGAATTTTCATTTAGTTTATTTAATTAACTTTAGAATTTTAAATTTAATTTATAATTAATTTAGCAATTTTTACAATATTATTTAGTTTAGAATTATTTTAGTAATCTTAAGTTAAGTTAAAATTATTTTAGTAACTTTAGGATTTTATTTCATTTAGGTTTGACTTAGTAAATTTTAGAATTTATTTGTTTTAGTTTTGACTTAGTAAATTTTAGAATTTTATTTGTTTTAGTTTTGACTTAATAAACTTTAGAATTTTATTTGTTTTAGTTTTGACTTAGTAAACTTTAGAATTTTATTTTGTTTAGTTTTATTTTAGTAACTTTAGGATTTTATTTCATTTAAATTTGACTTAGTAAATTTTAGAATTTATTTTTAATTTAGTAAACTTTAGAATTTTATTTGATTTTATTTAAGTTAACTTTAGAATTTTAGTTGTTAGTTTTAGTCTAGGGACTTTAGAACTTTATTTGATTTAGAATTAGTTTAATGAGTTTATAATTTTTATTTGATTTAGAATTAGTTTAATAAGTTTAGAATTTTAGTTGTTTAGAATTAGTTTAATTTTCTTTTAGAATTTTATGTGATTTAGATTTAGTTTAGTAACTTTGGAACTCTTTTTGTTTTAGATTAGCAACCTTAGAATTTTTATTTAGTTTAGATTTAATTTATTAATTTTAAAATTTTTAATTTAGCTTAGATCTAATTTAGTAATTTTAGAACTATTTTTGCAATCTGAGAATTTGTAGTTAGTTTAGAATTTTTTAGTAAGTAATCTTAATTTTTTTAATTTAGTTTAAATAACTTCTTTAGACAATTAGTTACATTCTCTTTTATTTTATTTAAATATCTTTGTCATTTTAATTTCTCGATGCCTTTAGGTCATTAATCTGTTTCGTTATATTTATTTTCTTGTGAATTTTGATTGCTTATGTTTTGATGTCTATTTTATCTTTCTCGCTCAATTTATTCCAAGGGAAATGATTCAACTCAGTTGACTTCACGTCATCAAATACATCTCATACGATCAAGCGAATACCCTCATTCATTTTTTTCCTATTTACTGTTTTTTTCCAAAATTAAGTCGATTTTCCTAAAAGATTCAAATTTCAAACTCACACCTTTTAAGTCTAAACTTCGACACTAGGTCGCTGTCTCTTCAAAATCTCTCTAACACCGATTTTTAGCCAAACGAACCATTTTTTCAAACAAACAATTTTAAACCAAAAATTAGTTATTTCAAAAGGTTCTTGCGGAGTACCGCAGATGCATTGGATGCTAATACCTTCCCACTGTATAACCAACCCCCGAACTCTCGATCTCTTTCAAAAACGCATTGTATTTTTATTACTTTTAAGTATTATTTTACATTGCATATTTTAGGGTTTTATTTCGCTCTTTTCCCTTTTCCCTTGGAAATAATAAAGCGCGGTGGCGACTCTTGCTTTGGTGAGTCAAGTTAATTAATAGCTTGATATCCGATTTTCACCGCTACACAGACAACATAATGCAACAGAAGCAAAACTTAATGTTGATAAATCCTCACTCTATCGGCAAACTTGCAGATAGTGAATCACAACATATGAATAAATGGTTATCAGATCCTCGCTTTGTTAGCAACAACTAACAGTAGTCTATAACAAACATTAATATTGATACATCTTCGACCTACCAATATATTGTAGACAGTAGATCACAACAGAGATAGAAAAGGAATACTAGTAGACCCTCTCCCTACCAGTAATAACTAATAGTGGATCATAACTAACAAGATTTATATTGGCAAACCATCGCCCCATCAACATCTGCTTACAGTAGATCGTAACTGACATGTAGACAACTTCATTGGGGATAGAACCATCAAGTTTAAAACCTGTGACTGAAAATAGAAATTTCCAAAGTGGATAGATCTTTGCCCGATCAGCGCTTTGCTGACAATAGATCCTAACAAGCCTCTAAATGTGTTGAACAACTAAGTAACATCGTATTCAGATGTACTTTATTAAAGATAACATTATTTGGTTGAAAGTCATTTAAACTCCCTATTGGTAGAGATAATTTTTTGTTGGGTGAACTGAGAAAATCACTGGGGAAATAAATGCACCAGAGACTCGTTGGGGATTAACTGAGAACCTCTCAGAGAATCGAGTCTGTAGAGGGCTCCTTCCACTAAGACTTGGTGGAAAGACTGCTATCTGAAAGATTCTGAAAAGATCTTATTGAAGAACAATAATCCTAAGGATATCATTATAGTAATCCTGTTGGAAATAGGCTCACTTTGGGAGCACATGAAGCTTCATTGGAGAAAACTTCAAAAGAAACTCTGTAGGAAAAAATTACTGGGGAGACTCGAGAAGATGTTTTATTGACACAAGATTTTACTAGGGGAAAATAAATCATTTTGTTAGGGAGGAAACATGATTTGAGAAACAACACCAATCCTGATTGATTTCTGAACAAGCATTCAACTTGCATTGGAGAGAAAAACTAAGTCTGTCATTTGAGAAGTAGCCTTCAAAACCTAATCCTTTTGAGGAAACAACTAGCTTCAACTTGAGGTACTATAGTCCTAGTCGAGGTTTATGCATGAATATAATGTGCATGATAAGAAAGAAAATTAATGCAAGAATTTACTGGTTAATGCATTGGGTATCAAACTGATTTCCCGACACAACTGGTCTTGAATAGTTTTGGCACCATGAAGATGGTTTGCAAAACCCTGAACTATTGATTTGCCACTTGAAGGGATCCATGGTGATTCTTGTTGAAGGAAGAATAGAAACTTTTGACTTGCTCAAATGATGATGATCAATGAGATGCCCCACGCCTGGTGAACCAGATGTATCGAACTTTACACTTAAACATCACCAAAGGCGCAAAGATTTCTACTCCAGAACTTACCATGCCCTAGTCTGTTAACCCTTCGAAGAAGCTTCCCTTGAAAAGGAATTAATAATGGTTTCCCAAGGCATGACCTTAAGATAACTTTCCCCAGTATGAACTTTGGAGAGGCTTTAACGTCTCAAAGTAATTTCCCCAGATTGTCTTATTCTTGAAACAACGTGCCTCGATTCTGAGCATTGGAGAGTGTAACACCCTTCTAAACCCTCGTATAATTCGCATATAATCTACGAAAATAGTTCAAATAAAACCACCAACAAGGGTGTCACATATTCATATAAACATCATATAATAAACATATTGCTCCATAACTCGGGTTTTCAAAATCATTTATAACGAGTACTTTATTAATAACAACTATAATACCTCAACTACTCGCAACGGAATTCATAGTTTCAGAAGACCTTTATTAAAATACTTCATCGAAACTTTATCATACTTCATCGTTTATAATTAATAATTCAAATAACTTAAATACCATGAAAGGTAGTTCAAAATCTCAAAATAAATGGAATAACATAATTATTTCAAACAAACGATCCCAACCCCTATGTTACATATAAGAGTAAGACTCGCTTTATTTGATAGGAAATAAACAACGCACTCATAAGTTATCCTTTAAGCTTTAACGGACTATTCTCGACCATTTGCAAGTTACCCACGTATCGAGGAAACATTTCCAAGCAGAAAGGGTGAGTAATCACAAATCATTATAAAAGATATAAGGAATAAGTACAGTAGTTACAACACATTAACATGAAATCGCATATCGCCATACATCATATATCAAACTCTCTCTTTCACATCATAATTCATTCACAGCATCATCACGTCATCAAGTCAATAACATACATCAAGACATCATTAAGTCATAAATCATTATTAATTCAAAATATCATCATATTAACATTTATCATCAAACACCACTTAGATCACAATGTCATCAACATTAATTAATCAATCATTATGCAATGTCACAAATAATGCAATACAACATCATTGACTCATGCATGTGATACCAAAACTTCACTGATGACCAGGTCACCTTCCTTCAAAAATCACCACCATAAGATCAATTTCCACTTGGAACCAGAGCACTTCACAATTTTCACTCAATCCATACTATGGGATTAAGGTCATCACTAGACCAACGTCCTATCAATATCACTGGACCAATTGTCCTAACAACATCACTTGACCAATGCCCTAACATATGCCATGAATGCATGATACGCAACAAAACAATAAAACATGGCCACTGCTAGTCAAAACGCATCTTCATTCATGTAATTATCATAATATCATCACACACTTCATAGTACATACATCATCATCCTAACAACATCAATTCATCATAAGAACATACATTATATCACATCAAGGAATAATCACATCAATTCATCATAAAAACATACATCATGTGATTCATTCTATTTCACCAAAGTATAATACTGTTTACCTTGGTATTTGGTAAACAACCGCTGATCCTCCAAATGGTTACTTATTTGGTTAC